TATACAGTGGAACCCCGGTTAACGAACGTCCTGGTTAACGACCAAATCGGTTAACAAACTTTTATTTTGCAAAAATTTTGTCTCGGATAATGAACAAAATTTGGATAACGAATGTAACGGTATTTTGTGTCAAATTTTAGTTGGTGTTAGGCATGCGCGAGTTAAGCATTGCTTTTCCGAGTGTTTGTGCTATACTTCTTTTTTCAGTTTTGTGATTTATATATTTAATCAATATGGCATCCAAGAAAGAAAAAAGTCATAGTGGCAATAGAAAACAACAATGCAATATAAACGATAATGCGCTATCGCATTTGAGAAAAATTTTGATTAAAAGAGTAAGACAATCAACTTTAGATCAATTTCTTGTTCCTTATGGAAAGAGTTTGTTTGTTTGTTTAAGTTATGGCAACGCAACACTTGGGCGATCTACCTAGGGGGAATGCATTCTGGGAGGTGTTTTTAAGGGAAACTGGCCCCTATTTAGGCATTACAGACGAGGAAAAAACCCAGAAACCTCCCTGTGGCCAGCCTGTCTAAGCGAGGTGCGAACCCACAAACGAACTCCCCGTGTTCAAGGTACGAAGACCACTTAGCCGCTGCTGGGTTTTTTTTTTACCAAAAGAGACTTTGACTCAAAGAATCTGACGATGGAGTGCTACCTGTTATTTTTTTGGAGGGGATTCCCCTTCTAAGCATTAAGGTTCGTATATCTCCACTTTTCTGCCACCAACTACAACAAATGAAGGTATGTACAGTGCTATTTTATTAAACAAAGTTTACATGTTTGTTGCTGTAATGATAGATACTATGTTTTTCTACATTTTCATCAAAGAAAATTACTGTATATTACAAATAAAATCTCAAAAATTTCAGACTAGAACGGATTAATTGCATTTGCATTAATTCTGTGGGAAAAATTGCTTCGGTTAACGAACAATTCAGTCAACGAATGGAGTTGCGGAATGGATTAAGTTCATTAACCGGGGTTCCACTATACAAGAACTTTTTGTATTTTTTGGAGAGATGAAACAGTTACATTTTTGTAACCTCCTTCAGTGCAAATTTTGGATTGCCAGGTTATAGTATTTGGCTGATATATTTCAGCAGCTCAATATTTTGAATACTAGCATGCAAGGGAAAGAAGAAAATATTCTCACATCCATTGACAAAATGAAAGCATTTCAGAGAAAACTATAGATTTGGAAAAGAAAACTGTTGAAGGTAGTTTGGAAATGTTTCCACTGGTAAATAACACTTGCATAAATGAAACACTTCCAATAATAGTTGAAAATTTAATAAGTTTAGAAGAAAAATTGGATTCTTATTTTTTATCACTTAACACTAAACAATACAATTGGATTAGAAACCCATTCACGGAAGCTTCAAATGATTTTGGTTTAACATTAACAGAAGAAGAACTGGCAGCTATATCCACTGATCGTGAATTAATGATTAAACATAAAGAATTGTCTCTTGGACTTCTATGAAAGAAGAATATATGGCAATATCTAAAAAAGTTTTGAACATTTTACTACAATTTTCAACATCCTATTTATGTGAATTAGGATTTTCTACCCTCAACATAATTAAGAGTAAAAAGAGAGGAATTCTTCAATGTATTGATGAGGAAATGAGAGTTTGCCTTTCAAATATATGCCCAAACATTGAAGAAATTCCTTGGACACATCAGGCTCATGTTTCTCATAAACACAAGAATGAAAAAACTTAACACATTTGTACCGGGACCTGCCGAATTTGCTAAATCTTACTAAGAATGTATCTATATATACATAAAAAGATAACTTTTTTGTCATTTTTTTATTTTTTAACTCCCCTTTTTTATGAATTCTAAAAAGCATAACTCAAAAAATATAACATAAAAATGTTTTTTAATGTCAGAATAAATTTAATTTTGTCGTATTTATTTCATTTATTTACCATAAAAGCATGCTTGGCCTTTATATATTTTTTCTTTAATATTTGACTTAATTATTATAATATATTTCTCAGAAATTTGTATACAGTGTGCCTACAATTATTTGTAAGATCTTAAAATGTGCCATGACTTCAAAAAGTTTGAGAATCACTGATCTATATGTATATACTGTATAATAAAATGAATATTTTTCTAAATTTTCATTTTATTATATAGTATGTAGGTATTTGTTGTTTTTGTGTTTTAATTTATTATTAGGGCATTCTTTTTCTTTTGTGCATTTTGTTATCATATCTTATTAAATCAATTATTATTTTAATTTTGTACTGTCTTAATCGTATTTTATCATCACCATCATGGCTATTTGACACAACAGCACTTATCACACTTTCTTCGTCTTTAATTATTATCAAAGTTATACTTTTCTTCTAATCGTTATTATTTGATGATATAGAAGAAATCACTTTATAATTTTGCATAATGACATATGTGAAAATATATCATCCAAGTTACATTTTTAGTATATTTATTTGCATAGAATAGTAATGAATACTTGTTTAGGAATTTTTTTATATCAAATTTTATCACCATTATCATACAGTCATAAGAAGGTTTTATGATATATAATATTAATACTTTGAAACAGTGGTGATATTCGAAATATTTAACACAGGGTTCATAACAGAAAATTTTTCCTTAACAATTTTTTTTCACTCAAATGGTGCCTTAACAACATTAGTGCAAAAACTGACATTAAGATACCCATATAAATAAAAATGATATATATTACACGCAATGATAAAACTGACATAACTACGTGGTAAGTCACAAACATCGACAAACAAAATGGAAGTTTTGGTTAGAAATAAATACAATACTTTTTCTTGTGATATATCTAATAATAGACAGATGTCCTCATCTCTCGAAATACAATATCTTTTTTATTTCACTGTCGATAGCCTGACATGTTTCCGCAGCCATCTTGTATTTTCTTGCGTGCATGGGATTGTGGGATCTCTCTTATGACTGAATCTAGTTTCAAGAATTCTCTTGAGTCGATCACGAACAAACCTCGTTTCAGTCAAGATTGAAATGGTCAAGGGAGGTCGCACCAAGGCTCTAGTTTAGTAGTGTTACAAAGTATAATACATATATTTTAATATATTTTTTAAAAGAAACAAAACCACTGAGAAATGTTACATGTGTTTAACAAGTTCAGAAAACTTTGGAAATGTTAACAACGGGTTCGGCTGAACCTGTGCGAACCCACTGAATATCACCACTGCTTTGAAATAATTTAAAACAAATACACTGGTTCCAATTGAATTAAGACAACTTATTTTCTAATATTACAAAATATAGTTTGAAGAAAGTAACACAGCTTTACATTAAATTTAAATGCTATAAATATTATTCTAAAAGAAACTACTAGTTTGCAAGACTAATAGAGTATATCAAGAATTTAAACTTAATGAACAAATTTTTAAAATGAAAATATGGTACATTTTTAGTATATAATACTAATGCAAATATACAGGCTCAACAGATATAATTCATTAGTTGTAATTAATGAATAGGTTTAAAATAGAACACAACTTGGCAAGGAATATTAATGTAAAGTTTGTTAAATATTGAATGAAATCAATGTCCTAAACAAATACTGTGTCAATATTTATATTGTTGAATGACCAATTTTGCCACTATTTCATCAACCAATTTTTTTTCTATCTGAATATTACTGTACTTTATTAATATATTTATAAAATCTAATTATAAATGAAAATCATGTTATTTTATCATCAGAGATGAAAGTAGTTTTATTCTTTTATGATACAGAAAATAAAGTTTTCCCTTCGTAACTTATAAATTATTAGGCCTATGGATTAAATGTGAACCATTACACCTTTATCCAGAAAAATTACAATTTCAATGATTATCCTTTCAAGCCATAATTTATATAAGGCATAACAGAATCCATCTTTTTATGTAACTGAAATAAATTTTAGTAAGCAGTTTAATTAAAGTTCTACTTTTACTACAAAAAAAATCCACAATTTCAATTTTCTAAGTTTAGAACAAAGAGTGGCAATAGGTTTTTCAAATATTATTATAATTAAAGGAAGTAAATGAATTTACTAAACTGCCAAATGATCGCCTAAATATAGGGCTATTATATGGCTAATTAAATGATTAGAATAAAGTAATTTGTCATTAGAGGTAGGCGTTAGGTGCCATCTCTTAAGTAAATTAATAATTAAAATTAAATAAATAAATTATTAAATTAATTTTAGAATTTTCTGGAATAAAAAAACTGGCTCGGGACGGGCCTTGAACCCGCAACCTCCGCTTGCCGTGTGGTGTGCTTGCCAGTTACGCCACCCGGACCCCGAGCAAGTCTTCGCTTCCAGAATTATATTAGATTAGATATAACCTTACTTGGTCTAACGCCTACCTCTAATGACAAATTACTTTATTCTAATTATTTAATTAGCCATATAATAGCCCGATATTTAGGCAATCGTTCGGCAGTTTAGTAGTTATACTATTCGGGCTTTGAATGTTGTTATTTATGTAAATGAATTTTTTGTATACTTTTGTGCATAATTTTTGATAACAGTACAGAGATAACCTATTAGGTTTAATTAAATTTAATGTTAAAGTTTAAGTCATCTCTGAACATATTTTTGAGAATTAAATTTTTGAAGAGAAGTTTAGAAAAAAAAAGTTGCAAAAAGATGGAATTGTTATCTAATATTAAAATGACATAAAAATTCTAAAAAGTAATATTACAATTATTGCTTAAAAACTTTAATATGACTTTTAGAATTTTATTCAAAAAAAAAAAAAAAATACAAATTTATTTAAATTAGTAAAATTATAAATACCATGTGAAGTCCATAAAGAACTTTTGCCATATCAACAATACTCTCAACCAATTGAGTGGGTAATACTGCTGCTGTACCTTCTCTTCTTGTTCCTAATTTACTATATAAATAGTGTTGCCAACTCATATCATCACTAGGATCAATCTAACAAAAATAAAATATGAATTATATATAAATATAACATAAATTTTGCACATATATATTATAAGTTTATATTATGTTCTAAGAAGATTACATAGTCCAAGAAAAAGTATTCCAATACTAATAAGTCTATAAAGTTGAAAAAAATCTTTATATCCTTAGGATTTTCAACCAAATTTATTTCAAATAAATAAATCATTTAACAGAATAAAACTTTACTAAATAAAACTTTTAATTAAAATTAATTACATAATGTCCCTGAAAAAGATTTTAAAAATTTTTATCATATAGCTTGATATTAAAGTTTTTTCGCATAGTAAACTATCAGTATATAAGTTTTTGTTTGAAAGTGATAAAAAAATTTTTCTTGAAAAATTATTCCTTTCTTCTAAAGAAATGAAACTTTTGATTTTCAGCTCATAATTTAATTATATATGACAGGATAGTCTAATCTTTTCCAGTTCAACTGCTAAATTGTACTTTCTATCAATAGTTAGTTATAGACTAGAGAAATATTTTTCTATGAGTATAAAAAAAATAAAACATTTTCAATTTTTAACTAAATAACACAGTATAAGTAAACAACATTTTAACGAGAATTCTGAGCTAAGATTCAAAACCAATTTCTATTTATTTAGTGAAAAGTTGTAGTGTTTACTTCAATAAATCTTCACCAACCTATTTTCTGTTTACTTTTTAATATTTTCATTGTTGAAAATTTACATTCACATAAGTATTACCAAATATTGAAAAAATGTTTAGAATAAAATTTCTCAAATTTGGATACAATACTTTTGAATGCAAAAAATTGATTGTGGTAAATCATGCATGGAAGAGTTTAATGAAAATTTCTCAATTATCAAATAAAATGACATTGGCCAATTATCTACCAAGGTTAGATTGCAAGTTAGACAACCCTAATATATGATATATTTTTTTACATTTTTAATATATAATTTGAGTAAAAATTAATAGTAAGTGATATTACCTTATCAGGAAGAGTCAACTGAAGGCTTATATAATCAAGTATATCTGATTCTTGTTGCTTCTGTAAATTAAATTATAAAATTAAATGTAATGTAATATCACAAATAATACTGCATATCTTATTTCTTTTTTATGCACACTTCATACCAAATAAAAATACAGTAAATTCTGGTTAATTAAAACACATCACAACTAAAACATTTTGGTAGAATTATGTGAAGTTAATTTAAAGTATTAAAAATATATAAAATAAACTACTATTTATTGAGCAATAAAAATACTTAAGTAAATTCTGGATAAATAGTACAGATTATAAAAAATATTTAGGCCATAGTATATGTTACAGTAAAAGTGATAACATGTAATTATGGTAATTATGCATAATGGCTATTTATTATGCACAATCACCAATCATCTTGGTGAGTTTGATAAATTTCACTAAATTTCTCACTTTTATTGGTAATTATGTGCAATTCAAAATGAATTTGGTAAGTTTGATGGATATTGCTAAATATATTACTTTTATAGNGTGGCAATAGGTTTTTCAAATATTATTATAATTAAAGGAAGTAAATGAATTTACTAAACTGCCAAATGATCGCCTAAATATAGGGCTATTATATGGCTAATTAAATGATTAGAATAAAGTAATTTGTCATTAGAGGTAGGCGTTAGGTGCCATCTCTTAAGTCAAATGATCGCCTAAATATAGGGCTATAATATGGCTAATTAAATGATTGCAATAAAGTAATTTGACACTAGAGGTAGGCGTTAGGCTTCATCTGTATATATATATATATATAAATTATAATGTCAACTAAAGCAGTGTTTTTCAACCTGTGGGTCGCGACCCCCAGAGGAGTCGCGAAGCCTTACACGGGGGGTCGCGGGTAAAAGAAAAAGACAAGTGTTTGTAGGTCCTACACTACATTAAAAAACTACAATTTCACCGAGAAGGCTGTAGTACCTGTTTATTATACAGTACAGTTGGATTTTTGATTGACAATTAGGTCTGAATGATAGGTGTTGCCATGGAGGGGCCCGAGTGGTTACGGCCCACCCCAGAAAATGATAGCCGAATAAGTGTTGAGCTGACTTATAAAATGAAGTAATAAGTAGAAAAGTAGAAGTTGATAACTCTCATCCTAAAAAAAAAAGGTCAACAGCACTCCAATGTTATTATGAAAAGGAAGTGTAATACCATACGTGTCTTAAGTTATTGTCGATTCTTAGCAAATTCTCATTTTAACCAACAATAATTTCTCTCAACAGAAAGAAAATTAAATACATAATATTTAAAATCTCTGATATAGTTTTAATATGGCCCTAGGGGGGTCACCAGAATTTTTTAACTTGTAAAGGGGTCGCGTATTCAAAAAGGTTGAAAAACGCTGATCTATAATATAGCACTAGCTTATTGTAAGCTCAAGTAATGTGATACAATATGCTAACGTCGCGTTAACCAAGCTTAATACGCGTCTTGTAANTTATTTAAATTAGTAAAACTATAAATACCATGTGAAGTCCATAAAGAACTTTTGCCATATCAACAATACTCTCAACCAATTGAGTGGGTAATACTGCTGCTGTACCTTCTCTTCTTGTTCCTAATTTACTATATAAATAGTGTTGCCAACTCATATCATCACTAGGATCAATCTAACAAAAATGAAATATGAATTATATATAAATATAACATAAATTTTGCACATATATATTATAAGTTTTTATTATGTTCTAAGAAGATTACATAGTCCAAGAAAAAGTATTCCAATACTAATAAGTCTATAAAGTTGAAAAAAATCTTTATATCCTTAGGATTTTCAACCAAATTTATTTCAAATAAATAAATCATTTAACAGAATAAAACTTTACTAAAAAAAACTTTTAATTAAAATTAATTACATAATGTTTCTGAAAAAGATTTTAAAAATTTTTATCATATAGCTTGATATTAAAGTTTTTTCACATAGTAAACTATCAGTATATAAGTTTTTGTTTGAAAGTGATAAAAAAATTTTTCTTGAAAAATTATTCCTTTCTTCTAAAGAAATGAAACTTTTGATTTTCAGCTCATAATTTAATTATATATGACAGGATAGTCTAATCTTTTCCAGTTCAACTGCTAAATTGTACTTTCTATCAATAGTTAGTTATAGACTAGAGAAATATTTTTCTATGAGTATAAAAAAAATAAAACATTTTCAATTTTTAACTAAATAACACAGTATAAGTAAACAACATTTTAACGAGAATTCTGAGCTAAGATTCAAAACCAATTTCTATTTATTTAGTGAAAAGTTGTAGTGTTTACTTCAGTAAATCTTCACCAACCTATTTTCTGTTTACTTTTTAATATTTTCATTGTTGAAAATTTACATTCACATAAGTATTACCAAATATTGAAAAAATGTTTAGAATAAAATTTCTCAAATTTGGATACAATACTTTTGAATGCAAAAAATTGATTGTGGTAAATCATGCATGGAAGAGTTTAATGAAAATTTCTCAATTATCAAATAAAATGACATTGGCCAATTATCTACCAAGGTTAGATTGCAAGTTAGACAACCCTAATATATGATATATTTTTTTACATTTTTAATATATAATTTGAGTAAAAATTAATAGTAAGTGATATTACCTTATCAGGAAGAGTCAACTGAAGGCTTATATAATCAAGTATATCTGATTCTTGTTGCTTCTGTAAATTAAATTATAAAATTAAATGTAATGTAATATCACAAATAATACTGCATATCTTATTTCTTTTTTATGCACACTTCATACCAAATAAAAATACAGTAAATTCTGGTTAATTAAAACACATCACAACTAAAACATTTTGGTCCAATTATGTGAAGTTAATTTAAAGTATTAAAAATATATAAAATAAACTACTATTTATTGAGCAATAAAAATACTTAAGTAAATTCTGGATAAATAGTACAGATTATAAAAAATATTTAGGCCATAACCATAGTATATGTTACAGTAAAAGTGATAACATGTAATTACGGTAATTATGCATAATGGCTAGTTATTACACACAATCACCAATCATCTTGGTGAGTTTGATAAATTTCACTAAATTTCTCACTTTTATTGGTAATTATGTGCAATTCAAAATGAATTTGGTAAGTTTGATGGATATTGCTAAATATATTACTTTTATAGTGATTTTTGCATAATTTCTAAAATTTAGTTCATAAACTTCATAAATATCCTAAAATTTCTTACTTTTTGTTGTTTTACTAAAGCAACTTATAAATTTAAACAAATTTTAATCAAATTAATCAAAAATGCTTTTTTCATTTTATTAATATTAGAATAATTTAATGAATATAAGAAAACTAAAAAAAAATCTGCTTCAGCTTAATATTAAAATTATCTGTAAAAAATACCAAAAAATTTGTTTAAAAAAAATATAGCAAAATATCATGACATTTTGAATTACATAATTTTTCATTTTCCTTGCATCTGAATTTGGATGGATTACACTTTCCTTTACATGAGCACCTTTGATATCTCACCTTTTGAAATTGGCGTTTTTCTTGTGCATTCCCTAAGAGAAAGAGTGATATTTAATATTTTCTCTTCTGTAAGAAATTGTTTGTTCACATAGCACAAATTGGTTTCTGGTATACAATTGTAAAAGACATCTCTCCTTTGTTCCCAAGTGATAGTACTCATCATTTTCAGTAGCTAATATTACTGCCAATATATTCTGCAAACTGCCTCTTGCCCTTTCCATATCTGTTATTCTTAGCTTCCCTGTATCTCTTACTTTGTCTACTGCAAGTTCAGCTCTGATAATTTCTTCATTTTCTTCACTTGAGCTTCCAAACCTGACTTTGCATTCACTCACTTCTTTGGTTGATGAATCAGGGATAGTCACATAGAGTTGGTTGATTGATGGCTGTTCATTTTCAATACTTTTTCTGATTTTATTTTCTTATCTTTTTTGTTTGATTTTATTTTCTTATCTTTTTTGTTTGATTTTATTTTCTTATTTTATTACCTGACAATATTTTTATTGGAATCTTCTAATTGATCTAGTGATTCAATTATTTCTCATAGCTGTTTTCTAAAGAATCTAATGAAAATGTGTTACATGGTTGACAAAAAGTAACAGCAGATCCCAATGTAGATGCCATCTGCACAATATTTTCATACTAGGGTATTTTTGTGGATTTCCTTTGTTTAGTACTTAAAGCATTAACATTTTCTTTCTAGTCATTTGTATTCTTAAATCTAATGTTATATCTAGATTTGTATTGAAACAATTAATCATCTGTTACATTGAAACATTTGTAATTCAGCATTTTAGTTAGCTCCTTTGACATAGTTTTCATTGACATGCATGCTTCCCCAGTTACAATTAAGAGTTATTGTTTGAAAGTTTTCTCAATGTCTGGGTCCTTGCTTTCATGTTTCCACTTTTTCAAATGTTCCCTGGAACATTTATAGCAGACATGGGCAAATGCAGCTCTTTTTGAGTTACATGTGGCTCTTGCTGAAAGTGTTAATTTCTGCTTTTTATTATTATTTTTACAATTTTATTTCCACAATTTTGTGAAAATACGTTTATTAAAAAAAATTCAATATTTGTTTTATATTATATAATAAAATCGCAGTACACAACTGCGGCTCCCATGCATTTTGCAAAACCTACATTTCAGCTCCCACTGAACTCTTGCTTGCCAACCCAATTTATAGCCTGTTTCTCTTGCAGTTTATCTTGCTATTGTATTACATACACAACCGTAAATTTTGGCACTCCAGAATAGCTCTGACTGTTGGCAGTGACTGATATTAGGCAAGGGCAGATTTAACATTTTGCTACTTCTATACTTTTTTGCCAAAATTTCATTTATTATATATAAACATAAAATATATAATTTGTATAATGAATTAAATAAAGAGAAATTAATTACTAAATATGATAATATTTACTTTGAAAGATTTTCTTGTAAAATTTTGCAATGCTTAAATTTGTGTTCATAATTCTTTTTGCAAAATATCATAACTGATGAAACCTGTAAGAATTTTTACAATAAAAATAATTTTATATTGAATATGATTTGTTCAAATAAAGCAATTCTGTTTGCTAGTGTCAAATTTCTTCATGGTGTGTTTGCAGTGCCCTAAATTTCACAAAATCAGTTTCAAAAATAAAGATTCATTATTTAAGTGTTCATTATTGAGTAAATTTGCATTAATTTACTTAGTGATGACCATCTTGCCACACATCATAAACATGTCATTTAGCAGTTACTGTTCCAATTAAACAGTATGTTGTGTCAAATAAACAAAAATATTCTGATTATATTCTTGATTTATTTTTGGTCTTAAAGATTTGTCCTAAATAAATGGTTTTCCCAATTAATTAATGGTCTTATTAAGCAGAGTCTACAATTTTTAAATACACAATTTTTAAAATTACACATCTCACAACTGTTATCTCAAAATATTAAATAAAGCAAAATGTTTTAGTAAAATTACTTTTAGAAATAGGAGAAAATAAAAGTTTTAGTGCTTTATTATAATAATTATATTATCATCACAAGTTAAAATATAAGATTATATTCTAGATTAAAGTAATATTGTAATTGTTAAAACAAAAGCATTCTTAATTTACATTTGCCATATGTTCACCTTAAATAATTTTATTATCATATTTTGTCTTATTTAAAATTTGAAGATAGTAATCATGAGATTTATTAAATAATTTTCAACAAATATTTGATGTAACTACAGACATTATAAATTGTTTAAGTTATAATTTAAATGACATAAAATTATTATAGCTTTAATTTCTTTCATAAATAGTACACACACTATCATTAAAATGTTTATTAAACAAAATTATCAATTAATAATGATAATTTAATATTTAGCTGTTTTTTTTGTAATCTATATATAAAATTTATATTTTTTAAAATATGTTTATATTTAATAACATTACATTATCATCATATTTACTTTTAAATATTTTTCCTTTGCATGTTGAACTAATTCTTGTTCTCTTCCAGCAAATAAATTCAATCCAATTGGAAGTAAACGCTTTAAGCAAGCAACCATTAGACTGGCAGCTAATTCCTTTTCTTTGTCACGTTTACCATCACGTTTTTTCTTTGCCTATTAATTAATCATAATTTTCAATATTAATATTTAATGTAAAATATAGAATTTTAAAATTTATAATATGTAATATAATAAATGTTCAAGAAAATAGCTCAATATATTTATTCCTATGGGGAAAAAATTAAATCTCTATGTCCAAACTCCTTAGTTACCTGATATTTTGTTAGTTATTTTTCAATTTATGAATAAACTTTCTTTAAAGTTACAATAAATTCTAGTTTAATCATTCCGGATAATTTTTAATTAAGGGAATATTTTATGTATTTTATGTTCATATTTTAGAAAGATATCATAAAATTATATATTTGAAGCCATTCACATCTGATAGCATATGCAGTGATTAACTTTATAGTTTATCAGCTTTATAACATAGTTAAATAAGAACAAAAATAAAAAAAAATCATACAAATAAATAAAGAATATGAAATTTATACTTACTTTTTTAGCCGTTCCTGCAGTTTCAACAGCTTGCACTGTTGCTCTGCCTCGACCTGCAGCAGGCATTATTAATGCCATGTTATCAATTTCATGTTGAGAGATATAGTTTTGTTCTTCTCTACGTAAAAACTGAAATAATTTGTGAAATATAGCAATATTAAGAATGATTGTTACCTAAGTAAATACAATAATTTTTAAGCAAATGTTTCATCTTATAAATGTTGAATTTAGAAATTGATCTAGAAAGAAATTTAAACTATTGGAAACATAAAATAAAGCATATATAAATTACATCATTTGAATGTCAATGATTATAAAGATAATACTGGATGACAGATCTGAATCACTAGATTTTGGAAAATTATTCAAAGGCTTTGCTGCCTCAGTTAATGTAATCAGGTAGTTACGACAATTTTGAAATAATTTTATAATGGCAATATTTAAAACATGTAACTTCTTTTCCATCTCTCAAAATAAAATACAATCCAATTTAGAATTTCGAAATTGATTTTTAAAAATACATACTACTAAAAATATGATAACAATTCAATTAGCCATAAATAAATTTTATTACTGAAACATCAGTCTACATTTATTTCTAAATTCAAAATTTAATTATGTTGTACTATTAATGAATGTTTCTGAGACACAGTATAGAAATTATGACAGCATCATTAAACACATATCATACTAAAAAACAATTTAGGATGTAGATATTTTGTGTGAAGTTTCAGCACAATAGTTAGTGAATATCATGTGACTATTAGCTTTTCCAAATGACTCAATGAATAATGCAGAGACAAATCAATAAGAATTAATAACATATGTATGCTTATCCACAATATTGTCTGATAATGAGATTTGGTTATAATTTCTTTCACAAACCAGTTCACAGAATTTCTGAGATACATGTCATGCTACGTAATTTGCATATATTGCCAATCTTACATGTACTGTACAATGGGTGATCGGTTAACGAACATAATCCATTCCAAGACTTTGTTCTTTATCCGAATTGTTCATTAACCGATTATCGATTTACCATAGGTTTTTATAGGAATTTGATTAATTCATTCTGAAGACTCCAAAAAATAAAAATATATACTTTTTTACTACATTTATTTATATGTAATACCGTGTTTCCCCAAAAATAAGACATCCTCTGAAAATAAGACCTAGTAGAGGTTTTGCTGAATTGCGAAATATAAGACCTCCCCCAAAAGCAAAGTTTTTTTTTAGTCGTAACGGTTATTCGACAGATAATTGAAAGTGGCTGTTGCATTCTTGCATTTTTATTAGTCATGTTTTTTCTGTTTGTGGGTTTAAAGAATCTGACCAATGTCAATTGCTTTTCTCTTTTCTTCAAGATTTTTCAGAAGTAATTAATAGTATTGTAATTANTACATTTATTTATATGTAATACCGTGTTTCCCCGAAAATAAGACATCCTCTGAAAATAAGACCTAGTAGAGGTTTTGCTGAATTGCAAAATATAAGACCTCCCCCAAAAGCAAAGTTTTTTTTAGTCGTAACGGTTATTCGACAGATAATTGAAAGTGGCTGTTGGCTTTTTGAAAGTACAGTCACTCATTGGCCAGCAGACAATCATGCCACACGGCATGATTTGCATAAGACAACGGCTTGGAAATCACAGATTTGCATAACGTTACGGCTGGTGATCACTAATTGGTCAGCTGGGAATCACGCCACATCACATTTGCATAGTGCTACGGTTCAGTAAGCACTAATTGGTCATCGAGCCTGATGTCGATGCTATGAAAAGGTTAAGTTGAAGCGAGAGTGGGAAGTCCACTCCAGCATGGGAACTTCGTAAGTTCAGTTCATCACTCTCGTTTAAGTTAGNATTGCTTTTCTCTTTTCTTCAAGATTTTTCAGAAGTAATTAATAGTATTGTAATTGTAGAGATCCCCAACTCCATTAACCTTATTCTGGTTTGGATGCTACTTGGATGATCGTTGTTCTTACATCTTCCCACTTCTTCAAAAGATCTTTAGTAGCAGATGTCGACATGGTCCTCTTTCATCTCCCTCTTTTTCAAAAGAAAACACATCTCGTTGAGTTTCTTGGTGTTGTTCATTTGAGAGTTCTTGGAGTTCTTCTGTCGTCAGATCAGTTTCAGGTTCCATTATGAGCTCTAAGATGCTCTTTATTTCTCAGATGTGATTTTCATTACTCCATTAGCAGCTTGAGACTTAGAGTTAGATAACCTAGAAAATAGGATTTAACAATTTGTAGGGCTTATCACACCAAGGCCAACAGAAAAAAGGACCAGAACTTTTACAAAAAAGTTAGTCTTTAATAATCACATTTCAAATTTTGTAAAAGTTCTGGTCCTTCTTTCTGTCGGCCTTGGTGTGATAAGCCCTACAAATTGTTAAATCCTATTTTTTAGGTTATCTAACTTTATCTAATTTATAGTTGTGGGCTAAAAGCATCGTTTATTATTAGCTTGAGACTTCTTGATATATCTTTCATAGCTAAGATTGTGCCTAGTGTAGACCTGTTCAAGCCATACTGCCTAGCAATATCAGACATCTTGTGCCCACTTTCTACTTTGGTTATTATCTCTTACTTGATTTCTACGGTGAGCACAGTTCTTGACACTCCTCTTTTTAGGCTCCATAATATTATCAGTTTCTTTTTAAATAAAAAGTTCAGAAAAGCACTTACAAAAATTCAGAGAACAGAAATCGACTAGCCCACAAAAAATTATTTAAATGTAAGGCCAAGATGAAATTCGAAATTTGGTATTAAAACGTTAACGAATATCCGATGGGACAGTTATACTTTCACCTTTCGTAAATAAACCCCGACACAAAACTTAACAAGTGCCTGTCCGACAGTCTCACAAAGACGATAAAAAAATGATTTGTCAGAAAGGTAAAAAAAAGCTAGATTTACAAGGGAGAGTTTCAAAATTTGGAGGAATACTATCCGATTAGTATCGGGTTGAGCATCGACGTTGACGTCTCCTGCACTCCAAAAGGTTTTGAATTGTTACCTAAAGACAAGGGAAAATCAATCGGTATTCATTATTTTCTGTCACGTCTTTTTATGTTTGTTCAGTAAAGTGTTCATTATCTGAACATATGTTTGTTGTCCGATCATAAAAATCTTTCGCAAAAGTGTTTGTTATCTGGTTTATTCACTATCCAAACTGTTCATTAACTGATCACCCACTGTACTTCAGTAAAAATTTCATTTTGCCTGATTTAAACTTTCTAATCAATATTTTGTTTAAATAATAGTTAACCTAATGAGAAATTATAATTGCTTTCACAGAAAGTATATTTCAAAAAATCTTGATTTACTAATAGAATTATTCAAAACTAGAATTGCCAGATGTTCAATTTTAAATAAAATCACATTTTATACATATGCAATCTAATTTTGACAATTCTGTTTAATTATATAATTATATACATGGCTAAATATAAAAATTATATTTACTTGTGATTTGGACCACACATTAAAAATATGGGCAACATAATTGTATAACTGTTCAGCTTCTTTAACGTTATGTTTTAGCCAATGATTCCTTAAAAAGAAATAAAATTTAATTAATGCATGAACACATTATATTATTTGATAAAAAACATTTTACATTCCATTTTATTTAAAAAATAACAAATGTAAATAAATCAATGATATCATTCATATCAATTCCCAAATAAGAGAAAACAACTTTACTATTATCTTTCCAGAACTTTAAATTAATATTAAAATGATATTTTATATGTTTATATTTACAAGTTCTACATCAAAGTTTTAGTATGATCAAACATAGTTGTAATATAGACCTCAAACAAAATAGTTTGCTTAAATATTTTCAAATTTTTATATTTAATATTTATTGGTAACAAAACTTTTAGAAAAAATATTAAATATTAAACATATCAATATTTACATATATAAATTCCATAAAAAAGTTTTGTTAATCTATTTCTGTAAAAAATATTTTGTTAATCTATAAAACAGTTTTATTGAAGCTTATCTAACCTATCTTTATAAAAATCTTTTACAACATTAAATTATCAGAATAGAACACTAAGAAATCATTAAAAATAATCTTAAACTTTTCAAAACCTGAAAATGATTCAAATTTCATATACATATTCTTCCTAATGACNTTATGAGCTCTTCAATGTTCTTTATTTCTCAGATGTGATTTTCGTTACTCCTTTAGCTGCTTGAGTCTTCTTGATTATACTGTATCTGTCTTAGATAAGATTGAACTTCAGCGTACTGTAGACCTGTTCAAGCCATACTGCCTAGCAACATCATACATCTTCTGCCTTTGCTATTATACTCTCACCTTTCAAAAATAAAAACCGACACAAAACTTAATGAGTGCCCACCCAACAGTCTCTCGTAGACTATAAAAAAAATTCTTTCTGTCAGAAAAATAAACAAAAGGCTGGAATTACAAGGGAGAGTTTGAAAGTTCAGAGAAATACTATTTGATCAGTATATACCAGGTTGAGCATTGACGTTGACGTCTCCTGCACTCCAAAAGGTTTTGAATTGTTACCTAAAGACAAGGGAAAATCAATCGGTATTCATTATTTTCTGTCACGTCTTTTTATGTTTGTTCAGTAAAGTGTTCATTATCTGAACATATGTTTGTTGTCCGATCATAAAAATCTTTCGCAAAAGTGTTTGTTATCTGGTTTATTCACTATCCAAACTGTTCATTAACTGATCACCCACTGTACTTCAGTAAAAATTTCATTTTGCCTGATTTAAACTTTCTAATCAATATTTTGTTTAAATAATAGTTAACCTAATGAGAAATTATAATTGCTTTCACAGAAAGTATATTTCAAAAAATCTTGATTTACTAATAGAATTATTCAAAACTAGAATTGCCAGATGTTCAATTTTAAATAAAATCACATTTTATACATTTGCAATCTAATTTTGACAATTCTGTTTAATTATATAATTATATACATGGCTAAATATAAAAATTATATTTACTTGTGATTTGGACCACACATTAAAAATATGGGCAACATAATTGTATAACTGTTCAGCTTCTTTAACATTATGTTTTAGCCAATGATTCCTTAAAAAGAAATAAAATTTAATTAATGCATGAACACATTATATTATTTGATAAAAAAACATTTTACATTCCATTTTATTTAAAAAATAACAAATGTAAATAAATCAATGATATCATTCATATCAATTCCCAAATAAGAGAAAACAACTTTACTATTATCTTTCCAGAACTTTAAATTAATATTAAAATGATATTTTTTATGTTTATATTTACAAGTTCTACATCAAAGTTTTAGTATGATCAAACATAGTTGTAATATAGACCTCAAACAAAATAGTTTGCTTAAATATTTTCAAATTTTTATATTTAATATTTATTGGTAACAAAACTTTTAGGAAAAATATTAAATATTAAACATATCAATATTTACATATATAAATTCCATAAAAAAGTTTTGTTAATCTATTTCTGTAAAAAATATTTTGTTAATCTATAAAACAGTTTTATTGAAGCTTATCTAACCTATCTTTATAAAAATCTTTTACAACATTAAATTATCAGAATAGAACACTAAGAAATCATTAAAAATAATCTTAAACTTTTCAAAAACTGAAAATGATTCAAATTTCATATACATATTCTTCCTAATGACAATGATATTTTAGCTCAAATCAATTTTTTTCATTTTAAAAGAATATCATATTAGATGACTAAAATACTGAAAATTTTATTTTGAATGTTATATATGCACTTTGAACTTTATTATTAGAACACATTCTTCAGTTTACACACACTTCATAAGATTTTATAATTGTAAAAAGTAGACAATGATCAGGCTAGATTTCTAAATAGGACAGTAGGCCTGGGTCTAGAGCAGCAGATTTTGACAGGCAGCAAAATTGGTAGGCATAGTATAAGAATTTTATAATAAAAGTAAATAATTCCAAATACTTCAATATTTATAATTATTAAGTCATCTATATTAATAAATAAAAATAGCAATTTAAATTACTTAATTACATCAGATAGATAGCTTTGACAACTTATTATGTAAATATACATCAAAAAGCATAATGTAAATTTTAATTAAAAACAAAATGTACCATTTAATAAAATGTGTCATTTTCATATCACATGAAAATGACAATTATTATACATATAATATTCTGCAATTAAATTCCAAATTAGTGTTGAAAGCATTTATGTCTATGTCAGAAAAGGTGGTATTCTAGCCTGGGTGTAAAACTAGGCTAAAATGCCACCTTTTCCGACAAAGCAGCAAAAGAATTAAATCTGGTTCTGACAATGATATATCATAATATATCATTATCTAGCTTTTCTATTTTATAAAATATCAATCTATCAGACAATCAAACTAAGGAAACAGGAAAAAATGAAGAATGCTGTTATAATTTAGAGGACTACAGGTAATTATTAATACAATAGATATACTGATGCAAGGGTATCAATCTCAGTTGTAATTAAATATAAAAACACCTTACAATGGGGTATTTAAATTTCTTTACAAATGTTTTTCAGCTCTATTTTTTGAAATTTAAATACCTCAGTGGAAAGGTGTTTTTATATTTAATTAAAATTAGGAGTTGGGTAGAATGGATTATTCTCAGCTGTTATTCTAGCCTGGGTGTAAAACTAGGCTAAAATACCACCTTATCTGACAAAGCAGCAAAAGAATTAAATCTAATTCTGACAATGATATATCATAATATATCATTATCTAGCTTTGAAATTATTCAATTTAATTAATTAATTAATTAATTATTCTAACAATGGAAAATTAAATGTTAATCATCATGAATATAACAAAAAGAAATATATAACAAAGAATATAAAAATGGCTTTGCTTACCTTTGTAAATCTGCATATTTTATAAGTAATGGATAAAATGCATAAATGTCTCTTACTAATACAGCAAACTCCTATAATTTGAAAAATTTGTACTGATTAAAAAACAATTAACAAAGTAAAAATTATATTAATTTAAAAATTAAGTTGTAAAAAAAAGAAAATAAGATTTTAACTATAAAATACATAATGTGTTTTATATATATTATAAAATGAAGTCATAAGTCAGGAACAACCCAAATATCTTTATGATGCTTAATATTAGATAAACCTAAGCATTGTTATTGTGTATTAGACCAATAAGTGTATTTATGATGTATGTTATCTGATCTCATCACCATCTTCAATAAATTTAAAAATTTCAAATAGAAAGGAAGTGGTGTCACTACTAATATTGCATGTTATTCATCAATCTTTAATAATTTCTACCTGAAATTTTTGTCAGCTTTTGGACAACTCAAATGTTTTATATCCTTTAGTTAAAAATTTCCAGAATAGAACTTTTTAAACCACATTTGACATGGCAAAGTTTAGGAGTAAGATACTCCTAAACTTTACTACCCCATACCCATTATGGATTTCTTTTTTTTATTTTTTTATTGTTTGTATGGCATTATATCATTTCCAAAACTCATAAAGCATAATATGTCTGATATGCTTTTTATCTGGAGACATTTCAAATTGATTTTATTCAACAAAATTTGAAAATAAAATGTTTAAAATAAGCTTCTAAACAAAGAATACAAACTCATATTAGTAATAATGTGTTAAATTTCAAAACTGTTATAATTAAATCACACATCTATATTAAGTAATGACAGTTGTAAGAAAATACAACGGGGAAAAAAACTCTGTTCAACCCAATATAACCTTTACTTATTAACCATGACATCTAAGAAGTGTATGGCAACAACAAAGTCTAAAAAGAAGGTTATAATATCAACAATTAAGATGAAAAAGGAACTTATCACAAAGCATGAAAGCAGTACATGTGTGGCAGATCTGGCAGGCATGTTTAAGATGCCAAAATCAACAACCAATAAATGCAATTTTCATTTTATTATACAGTATTTATGTATTTCATTTATTGTTTTCATGCTTTAATTTATTATTTAGTGCATTTACTTTTTCTTAAATTATCTGAATTTGCTGTTTTAAGTTTATTGAAATGGGTATTGTTTAGGGTCAGGGAATAGATTAATTCACTTTCCATTATTTCTATTGGGAAAAATTGATTCAGACTGAACAATTCAGAGTTCAAATGACCATGTGAAAGGAATTAAATTTAAAGAGTATTGTAAAATTTTATCAATTTGTAAAATTTTTATGTAAATTGATAATATGATGTCCTTAAAATATATAAGATGACTATCAAGATGATAGGCTATTTTACAGATCAAAACTTAACCTAAGAATGTTTAAATGTATATAAAAAATAAATACACAAAAAGGTATTTTTAATAAAATGCACATTATAGAAACATAACCAACATATGTATAATCACATAACAATTTGTAAACATGAATTTAATACTTAATGAATTCTTCTAATTCATACAAAACAGGCTAAGTTTAATAAATTTTTGTTTTGATAATAATTCAAAGTTAAACCGATATTGTTTTTAAGTTTTATATGCTTGCATATCTGTAGTAAGTTTTTAAAAAATTAACATAGTATTAAAACTCTGATAAGATTTTCTTATTGTACTTCAAAAAATGTATAAAGCATAGAGATGATACAATACTGAATTCTGCCAATATGATCCAATACTGATAATTTTCCAACCTATTCCAATAATTTCTTTTACTCATACTCTACAGGTGTCAGTAATGAAAGCTTATTGGTTTAGAGAGAATATTCACTTTGTTCACTAACTACACTCTCTTCAACCTTAAATAACCAGTAAAATATTTAAAAATACTACAAACGTTTTTGACAGTTATTTCCAGTCTTCTTCAGGCAGAAAGTTCTGAGATTCGAATATCAGTTGTGCTTGAAAAAATTTAAATTATTCTTAGAACGTATGAACCGATGCATATAGAAATTCATACTGTGCGTGCGTACTAAGCATAGCTTATACAAATGAAATAATATATTTTTTAACACACATATATAAAAAACCGTGGAGATCCGGATTAAATGAGGTCTTCCCGTTCATAGTAGAGCTTCCAAGCGTTAGAAATACTAATAGCATCCTTGGAGTTGATGCAGTTATTGTGTAGCCCAGCTTTGTATATTTCAAGAGTTTCCAGCAAACATATATGTTCTCTTCGGCTTGATAGATTAATTATTTGGACGTTATGCAGGTCTGCTCTTATGCCCGGGGTCAAAGCATAAGTACACAAGGCAGTGGTGCCCCTGTCATGTTCAATGTCATACTTAAGTTCCCATAGACGCTTATCTAGAGAACGTATCGTAGAGCCAATATATACAAGGTCCCTTTGAAACCTATGGTCCCTTAATGGAACTGAGTATACCTCTGGAGCCAATCTTATGTCTATGCGATCTTTGCAGTTGCGGAGGAAGTCGTAAACAGTACTACGTCTCCTATAAGTAATTTTTTTGTTCGTAATTGCCGCAATTTCTCTATAAATAGGGTCCAGGTGGTGGTTATATTGAACTACAGCCCAAGATTGTGTATTGTTTGAGTTGCTAGTGCTTAAGTTGTTGTTAATATTATATAATTGCGACAAATAGGCACCTGCCAGTTTCTGGACTAATCCCCGCCCATATCCAAGTCGAGAGGCTACGTACTGAATATATTGTAATTCTACCAATGTATCATCGAATTTTGTACTGTGTGTGAACGCTCTTTTGGTTAGGGCCCTGAATGCCGCTAACTTATAAGCTATAGGGTCATCCGAATTGGCAGAGATGAATAGAAAAGTATAGCAGGCTTATAATAAACCTTAGTTGTTATCTTGTCCCCTTCCAATTGTACACTGATATCCTGAGAGATATCAGTGTATAATTGGAAGGGATATAATATAATATCAGGGATATAATATTAACAACAACTTAAGCACTAGCAACTCAAACAATACACAATCTTGGGCTGTAGTTCAATATAACCACCACCTGGACCCTATTTATAGAGAAATTGCGGCAATTACGAACAAAAAAATTACTTATAGGAGACGTAGTACTGTTTACGACTTCCTCCGCAACTGCAAAGATCGCATAGACATAAGATTGGCTCCAGAGGTATACTCGGTTCCATTAAGGGACCATAGGTTTCAAAGGGACCTTGTATATATTGGCTCTACGATACGTTCTCTAGATAAGCATCTACGGGAACATAAGTATGACATTGAACATGACAGGAGCACTACTGCCTTGTGTACTTATACTTTGATCCCGGGCATAAGAGCTGACCTGCATAACGCCCAAATAATTAATCTATCAAGCCGAAGAGAACATATACATTCGCTGGAAACTCTCGAAATATACAAAGCTGGGCTACACAATAACTGCATTAACTCCAAGAATGCTATTAATATTTCTAACGCCTTGAAGCTATACTATGAACGGGAAGACCCTATTTAGTCCGGATCTCCATGGTTTTATATGTGGGTGTTAAAAAAATATATTATTTCATTTGTATAAGCTAAGCTTAGTATGCATGCGCAATGAGAATTTCTGTACGCATCGGTTCATACATTCTAAGAATAATTTAAATTTTTCAAGCACAACTGATATTCGAATCTCAGAACTTTCTGCCTGAAGAAGACCGGAAATAACGGTCGAAAATGTTTGTAGTATTTTTTAAATATTTTACTGGTTATTTATACCAGTACCTATTTACAAAGGTTGAACATGTTCACTGACTATTTAAATTCAAATATAAGAAATAAAGGTTTACAAATCAATTTACAGGTTTTTAGCCTTAGAACAAATAGGGTTGGCGTCAGGAATGGCATCCGGCCATAAAACCTATGCCAAAACTATATGGAAGTAAGTTATAACTGTGTTAGGACATCCCCCGAAGTGATGCACAGTCATGTCACCCAAAAACTATGTCAAATGAGCTGGGGCTACCGAACCAAGAATGGGTTTGGATAAAGAAGTTAGTTCAGAAAGAGAAGAAAAAGAAGACAAGTATAAGAATAGGTACTTTAAACATCAAATGGGAAGAGTAGAGTTGGTAAATCTTATGCAAAGAAGGAGAGTGAACATTTTGTGCCTGCAAGAGCTGCAAGAGACAAGATGGAAAGGAAATAAAGCTAAAAAACTTGGTGAAGAGTACAAACTAAACATGTTGTACCCTATGAGTGAGTGGAGCAAATAAGGGAGGAAGGAATGGAGTTGGTGTCATAATTAATAAAGTTCTAAAAGACAGTGTCTGTGAGGTTAAACAAAGGTGTGATAGAATTATGAGCATTAAGTTGGACATTGGTGGAATTTTCATTACGATTATGTGTGTGTGTGTATGCTCCTCAGCTAAGTAGTGGAGAAGAAGAAAAGACAAACTTTTGGACAGATCTTGACCAAGTTATAATGTGTGTTCCTATGAATGAGAGATTAATCTGTGGGGGAGATTTAAATGGTCATGTTGGGAAGAGGAAGAATGCAGAAAAAAGAGTTCTTGGGAGGTGGAGTGTGGGAGAAAGGAATGGAGAGGAAGAAAGACTAGTCGATCATGCTGTAGCTTTTGACCTTGCGCTAGTTAACATCTACTTTGAAAAGCAAACCAACAGGCTATATACATGAGTAGAGGTAAATCCAGCCAAATTGATTTTTTCTTGTGCCGCAGGAGACATCTGAGAGAAGTGAGAAACAGTAAGGTGTTAAATGGAGAAAGTGTTGCTGCACAACATAGAGTCCTCCTGGTGGATTATGATTTTCTTATGGGCCATTTTAAGAATTGTATTAGCCAGATTGAACAAAGGATCAAATGGTGGAGATTGAAAGAGAAGGAATTAAGGAAAGTTTAAGGTAAGTGTTAAAAGAAATCCAGTTTTCAGATGTGCAAAAATGGTGGTTGATGAATAGTAATTGTATCTTGAAAGTTGGAGAAGAGGTTTGGAAAAAACTTCAGGGAAGAGATCGTCAGAAAAAAAGGAACTTTGGTGGTAGAATGCTGAGGTACAAGCCACAGTTAAACAAAAGAAAGAAGCAAAGAAAAGGTGGATTTGATGGAAAGGCTGGAAGATATATAAACTTACCATTTGGCAAATAAAATGACTAAAACGGCAATGGCTATTGTGAAAGCAAAGGCTTTTGAAGAAACTTATAAAGCTTTCAAAAGGAAAGGTGATGAAAGGCAGTTGAGGAGAATTGCCAAAGCAAGAGATAAGGCATCAAAACATTTTACCTATATTAAACTAATTAAAGATGATAAAGGAGTGGTATTACAAGATTATGAAATGGTCAAGAAAAGATAGAAAGAATATTTTAGGAATTTATTGAATGAAGAAAATCCCAGAACTTTATATGAGAATGGAGAGGCGAATGAAGGAGTGATGCAAGATATTAGCAGAAAAGAAGTGGAAAGTGTGCTTTGGGAAATGAAGATGGGGAAATCAGATACCGGTTGAGGCTTGGAGAGGTTTCAGTAAGGAGGGAATTGATATCCTCTGGGGCCTTATGAAGAAACTCTGGCAGCAGGAGAGGATCCCAGATGAATGGAGGAAGAGCATTCTGGTGCCAATCTTTAAAGGTAAAGAAGATGAACAGAATTGTGGAAATTACAGAGGTATAAAGTTATTGTCCCATACTATGAAGATTTGGAATAAAATTGTAGAAAGAAGGATTAGGCAGGAATCTGAGATTGGAAAGGAACAGTTTGTCTTTTTGTCAGGAAGGAGTACAACTGATGCTATCTTTGCTCTAAAACAGCTGATGAAAAGGCAGAGGAAAATGCAGGAAGATTTGCACATGGTATTTATAGATCTAGAAAAGGCATATGATAGGGTACCAAGGCAAGAGGTATGGAGATGTTTGAGGAAAAATATGTTAGGCTCGTCAAGGAAATGTGCGAGGGAGCAGAGATCCAAGTTAAGAACAGTGTGGACACTACAGAAGGGTTCTTTGTTAATGTTGGTTTACATCAGGGATTGGCTCTTAGCCCTTATTTGTTTGATCTGATAATGGACGTGTTGCTATGTGACGTGAAGTGTGTGGCTCCGTTGAGCATGCTGTTTGTGGATGATATTGTTCTGTGTGAACTTTCTCAAACCAAGGCTGAGAAGAAACTGGAAGATTGGAGGAAAGTTTTGGAAGAAAGGGGCATGAAGATTAGCAGAACTAAAACAGCTTATATGACTCTGAATGGTAGAGACGAGTGTAATATTAAAATCCAAAATGTGCCGCTCCCTTTGGTTCAAAGTTTTAAATATCTTGGGGCATTTGTCGAGATAGCAGGACGATTGAACTCGGAGGTGCAGCATAGAATTCAATGTGGATGGATGAACTGGAGGAAGCTGAGCAGTGTGTTATTCGACAAGAAAGTTAGCTGCAATCTGAAAGGAAAATTGTATAAATCAGTTGTTAGACCTGCAATGTTATATGGAGTGGAGACATGGGCAATAACAAGAGCCCAAGAAAGAAAGATGAAGGTGGAGAAGATAAGAATGTTGAGATGGATGTGTGGAGTGTCAAGGAAGGATAAAATAAGGAATAATTTTATTAGAGGTTCTGTTAAGGAGGCCCCTTGAGCAAAAAGATACAAGAATGCAGGTTGAGGTGGTTTGGCCACATAGAGCGAAGAAGCAACAATTATGTTGGAAAGGAAATCAGAAAACTGGTAATAAAAGGAAAGAGGAAAAGAGGAAAACCAAAGATGCATTGGAAAGATAAAGTGGAAGAAGACTTAAACCAGATGGGACTTAAGAGAGAAGAAGTCCTTAATAGGGAGAAATGAAAGAAACGTGTTAGAGAAGGAAATGCCAATCCCATATAAACATTGGAAACAACGAGGATAAAGAAGAAGAAATCAATTTACAGGTTTCTTTTGAATCTGAACCTTGGGCAGCTGTAATTATCTAGTTTGCCTAGGACTAACTTTGGCTCTGTTTTTCAGAAAAAATTCAAACACACCTTAAGTAAATTTATAATTGTATAGGAAAATTGCCAGATTGAAAAAATTATTGCCAAATCACTAACTAACTTGAAATATTGCTGAAGTTGGTGATATTACTTGTATGTTGCCTGTCTATTGATAAAACGTTTCTGGTCTGCAAAGTTTTTTGATACAAGTAGAATAAACAAAAGCACTTCAGCTTGCTCTGCAATTGCTTAAAACCTGTTAAAACTGAGATGCTTAAAATAAGATTTGTGCACTAAGCATATTCCATTATAGTATTTGGATTCCGTTTCATATTCATATTCCGTTATATACTTTTGAAAGAAAATCTTTATTAATTATATTAAAGAACTGATTTTAGTTTATAAAACAAATAAAAATTTATTAATACCCTGTTCTTTACTTGCGCAAAAATTTTATGTCACTTTCTAGAGAAAAAATTATTTGCATTTGCAGCAACATAAAGCATTTCTGGAACCAGAATAAAATCAAGAAAACTAATCTAAACATTAAAATTACTCAACTCACAGTAATATATACAAATCTACACACAAAATATTGATGCATATTACTGTATGCTGCATATCTTAAGAATAATCGTTTGATTTTGCATGAGCAACTATATAGAGTCTAAAAAGACAACAAACCATATGTATAACATAGCCCATGCTCTTCAGTCATGACAAATTTTAACTAATCATAGCACAAACTGAAGGTATTTTTGTTGTATAAACATCTGATCTCCTGCAAAGCAGTGCTCTCTACCAATTTGGCACTTGCCAAAAGTGGCAACAATCATATGTCACATGGTTATCTGTGGCTAATCACATGCAGAGAGAATGTACTGTCTATGTTATGTTAGCTTCACAGCACGGTATGTCCATCATCATGTTTGAATGCCTGCCATGGCAAAACAATGTGAAAGATACATATAAAAAAACAAAAAGTCACAATATCAATATATCAGGAATATTCTGATACACTGATATATTGGTATTGGTTACATCTCTTATAAAGAAAAGAAAATATATAATTAACATATTTATATATTAATTACAATATTTACATTAATATAATGAAAATTTATAGAATGATTCTTTATTTCGATAAACATTGTGAAATAATTAAAAAGAATTAAATAATTAAAAATTTACCTCCTGAAGCTGGCCTTCAATTTGTGATGTATCTTCAGTTGATGATTTTAAATATCCCTTCATTAAATCTTCTTTGTGAAAAATACTATCAGCATTTTTGTATATTTTTTCAGCAAGAGGCAATATTGGATCATATAATAATTCTTCAGATGAATTAATGACAATCTGCCCTCCATTACCTAAAAAAAAATTGTTTTGAAAATTTAATACAATTAAAGAATTTTTTTTATTGATTTTCATTGTTTGAAAAGATAAGTGAAATACCAATGTTTTTTTATAAATCTTAATATTAACTGAACAATTATGTGATAATTAGTTAAAAAGTTTATATTATATATTAGATAATAATACAAAATCTTATCATTTATAAAAAATAGTCTTATACTGTATTTTGTGATTCTCTGCTGTATAATATTTTAATGCATATGTTTTCTGTATCATACAACTTGTTATTTTATCCCATCTTTTGTATATACTACACATGTAATGTTACTGTAGCCTCTAATGTTAATGATCTGTAATAATGCCAATATGTTCTTGTCTGCACCTACTTATATGTCTATGGCACCAGGTATGTACTGTAACTCAGTATTTTATTAATAAAATGAATCTGAATCTGTATATAAAGAATTTTTCATAGTAATATGAATAAATTTTAAGTAATATGAATAAATTTTAAATAATAAATCTCTAAATACTAATTAGTGAAGAGAGCTTATTTAACTTTGTATTAAAAATCTTTAAAAAAATTGTATTTCTGATTAGTAAAATTATGGTTAATATATATGTTTTTTTCAAAACGCTGTTTAATCAATAAAATTTTTGCAGCTTAACTAATTAAAATAATAATATTTAAATTGGTTGATTTGTTTTTGTTTTATTGAAACTAAATAAATAAATATTCACAATTTATGTAAACATTAAGTTTACTTGCTATTTTACTATATTTTTAATTTAATCATAACCCTGTAAGTTAAATTCCATCACTTTCATTCACATATGACATCACTTTGATATTATTCATTTATATTATACTGATTCATGAATATAACATTTAAAAAGTTTCACTTTTATAATTTTCTAAATACTTAAAATGTTCTCTTTTGATTACAGCAAAATACATTTATTCAAAAGTAATATTTTTTTATTTATGTGTAGTCATTATCAATCAAAAGTGATAAAATAAAAGAGTAATATATATTACTAGGACATCACACGACTAAATTGTATTGCAATAGAACTGAGATGGAGCCAGAAAGAAAGATGCAATCCTTGCATTTTTTAGACATGGAAAAGGCTATCCTTGTACCTTATGGTCATGGACAGGTAAACTTTGCACTCACCACCATGAAAGAACTATTTTTGCATCTGCTGATCGTGGGAGAGACAAACCTTGCATTGGCTAGGCACACAGAGGTTATCCAAAAACAAAGCAACTGATGCCAATGCCCACCAGTGGCTAAGTGAATAAAACCACTAAACACTGGTAATCAGTTGTGAGTTCACACCTGGCCAACAAGCTGTCTAAATGGAATTTTTCAGATTTTCTTCACATTATTAACACTTAAATAGGGTCCAGTTTCCCCAAAAAAGACCTCTTGGCAGATCACCCATGGGTCACATTACTTATAGAACAAACAAAACTAAACACAGTTGATGTCAATTGCTTTGTTCTTGTATTCTGTTTGTTTTTGGTGTGTATTTTCTATTAGGTGCATGCTATACTTTTTTTTTATTTATTTGACCCCTAAATTCTGTTAGGCGCAATCAAGCAGCACAGACATTGTCACTTTGACCCCACTTTATACCAGGGCTGTGGAGTCGCGTAAAAATCTACCGACTCCAACTCCAACTTTTCCTTACCATCCGACTCCGACTCCGACCAGGGGCGGATTTGTTACCGAAAGAGACCCGGAAATTCTGATGTCATCACGTGACCTCAGAATAAAATATTCAATAAATAGAGTTGTAATAAAGATAGAGCGTAGAAACTTTTCATTCCAAAGCTAAAAGACTTCTCTAAGTAATATATAAATATGTATTCAATAATTTTTACTTTTCCTGCTGTTATATATAATAGAGGAAAAGTGTAGCGCTCAGTCAAAAAATGACTCCTCCCAAATTTTTACATTTTTGGACTCAGGACACCGTAAAATTTCGAGATATGCAAAAGATTCGAGGTTTTTTCTATATGTGTGGATGATAGACTGTGTGGGGGGGCAGTGCGTAGCGTGGGTGTCAGCCGCCTGGGTGGAGGAAAAATTTTGCCGCCCCCTTATTTAGGTATCTCAATTTAAAAGACTAAAATTCAGTTTTGTAACAGAATAAGTAATGAAAAATTCCATGCTAGTGTTGCCACCTTTTTAAAATCGCTGACCCGGACGGCAGGTGAGGTTTGTTCGAACAGAAGTTCCTGATGCATGCGCAATGTCATTTTGCAATGCGAAGAATAATGTGCAGTGCATGCCGATTCTAAATCAGTTACAGTTAGCAACTAAAGAGACTTAAATAGGAGTAACGCAAGTGACCTAGCTCTATTGGATTTTGGAGGTGTATGTGATTACGAATGAATCGTACAAGCAAAAAAAAAAAGAAAAAAAAAAAAGGTCGACAGGTTGCGCACGATATCCCCGGACAGCGAGTCAGATGGTAACACAATTCCGTGCTCATTTCAATCAGTCCGAATCGTAGGTGGATGAAAATATGAAATAAAATGGTTCAAATTCTTACAAGATATTATTATTATTTATTGTGAAATTTTGCCGCACCCTAAAACGTAATTTTTCCGCCCCCCTTCGCTATGCTACTGGTGGGGGACATGATTTTGTTCATTCTGTTTGAAGCCTAATAATTTCTGTGGTCAGAGTTGGAGTCAGATGGTTTAACACAGGAGTTAGTTATTAAGCGTTAAAGTGGTTGAACTAAATCGTGTCCCCATATATATTCTAACATCTTAGGCGAGAACATCTTAACGGGTTTTACTGTACTATTATAAAATGGCTAAAAAGCTTACTTTGAGGGTAGAGACGAGTTTTATTTTATTTTTTTAAATTTTGAACGCTAATAACAAGTAAAATATTCATTAAGAGATATGACACATGACAACTTTTATGTCTTCACCCTGTTGACCTTTAATTAAGAACCAAAATTTAATAGTATTAATGCCCCTTTATACGCAAGCTACAGTGCCACATTTCATTTCTTAAATTTTACCCATTCTGAGATATTGTTTAATATCCCAGAACAGAAAATAAAGAAATTAAACGAATTAGATGCCAACACACACGCGCGCTCGAATTTTTTCCCTTTACTGACTTTTTTGAGGGGTTTGGGAGGTCTCCAAACGTGTAGATTTGCAAAAGAAACATGGAGGGTCAAATTTGACATGATTCCAACACTTTTCCGTTTTATATACATAACAAGTTGGTAAGTAAAAAGGAGTCGGAATTGGCGGATTTTTTGATGACTCCGACTCCGGCTAAAACACTAAAACTCCACGACTCCGACTCCGACTCCACAGCCCTGTTTTATATTATATTGAAAACAAAAGCATAGACTCCTATTTCCTACATTTACATTTATTACATTTCTGGATTCTTTATCTCAATCAGCAGAAAACTGCAAAGTTTTATCAAAATTGTCCCATCGAATTTTGAGAATGAACTAGATTCTATAATCCACATAGAAGATATGCTAATAACTTTAGGACATTGCTCAACTTTCTCACGTAATTTGCACAATATTGCTTTGTTGCATGTGCTTCTGTTAGGACTTTGTATCTTGAAAACAAAGTCATGGACCTCCATTTTTTATTTCATTTTTGGATTCTTCATAGTAATTAATGGAAAATGGCAAAGTTTTGTCAAAATTGATCAAATAAATTTATACAACAAACACAATTCTGTAAGTCATATAGATGAGGCTTCTCTAAAACTCTGCCTCAATAAAGATCTGGAAATCAGATTATTTCTAGAAATAAATAATTAAAAAGGATTAATCTGATTTAGTTATAGTACTGAAAATAGAGAAAAGATTGAAAAAAAATTTCATTCTCTTGGCCACAGAAACAGAAAAGAGGTAAGAAAAAATAAAGTGAGAGAGAGAGAGTTTACATTGTAGCTGCTCGCCTTTTTAATTATTTAAAATTTACATGTTTTGATTATTTTAATTCTCAACGTCTTTCCTTTGTTCTTGTCTTACTTTCTAATCTTTCTTTTGTCAACGTGAGGTTATGTTCCAAGAAACATCAAGAACAATACAGAGGATGACGACAGGTCCAAAGGGGAAAGAGTAACTGGAGATTCTTAAGCTCAATTTCAGTGAGGACACACAGAGGTCCAGTTAGTGGGAGAAAAAACAGAACAAAAAAGCAAAGAAGGTTAAGCTTCTGTGAGTACTGTGTAGCTCAACAGGATATAAATTTTATTAGTGCTTCTTTCCGAACAAGAGACTTTCGATCATCACAAAGTTGGATAAGCAATGGAATATTTGTAACGAAAGACAAAAAATCAGAAAGCTAGAATTCATTGTGGACCCCATCTCGCTAGCAAGGAAATGTATCTCCTGACAAAATCCCGAAGATTTTTGATATTGATCTTCCTATCTCTATCCTTCTAATTTCTTATCCTACTTTTCTCATATTCACATTGTAAGGTGGTTTTAAGGTAATATTAATTTTGGGTTACTTCTGTTATGTGTGAAACTTTTTTTTCTGTCTGTAATCACATGCATTCCCAATGTGGGAAAATTTCACTGTTATCCAGCCTAAGTTGGGATTCCGACAAAAGATCCTGTGACACTTGTTTTGTTCTGTGTGAATAAAATGTGTGAGGTCAGCCGATTTGGGGTGAGGTGTTCGACAGCCGAGCGGTTCGTTCTGTCTTGTGGGCGCAGAATGACTCTTTGAGACAGGTTTACCATTTTTAACCCGTTTATTAAATATATAAATTTTCTTACAATGTCTTATAACGAGGCGTAATGCCTATTCAAAGGTGGGAAACGAATCCTTTCCAAAGATAAAAGTCCAAATGTCCAGATAGTCGTTTAGGTTCGTCCAGCGTAAGTGAAGCGGAGAGCGATGGCCCCGGGGCGCACAGCACAACTCTCATCGATGATCTCCAATGACTCGGAGCACCTGGGCGGGTCTTGAAGGGACGGGCTAGCCAAAACGAAGCCTGGGACGTCGAACTAGCCTTTGCTGTAGAATAACAGGAGCACAAAATTCCAGGAGAGGAGCGCTATGAACCAGGAACCTTTTTTCCTCGAGTCGCACGGTTTTATAGATTTCTTAACCGTCGTCGCCTCTCCATTGGTCTCTCATAGTCACCTGGTGACAATTCGAAACCTAATGAAGGGCGCGGGAGAGGTCACCGTGCGACTGAATACGATTCCTCTCTCTCGTCGCGTTTTCTTCAAATTTAACCGTTTCCATTGTTTAAAAGATTCGCAAAAAAAAAAACAATTGCATTGTTCAATCGAGACACCTAATCCGTTTCCTTATCGACTGAAAAGGAGCTCTTAATTTTCGATCGAACCCATAATTCGGACCTCTCAATCGACCCCTGTTCGGGTCCTCACAAATGTATTAATTGTATCTGTTCACTATTTGTGTTTTGGTATTACACTCTGTAGCTTATATTGCTTTCATCAGTATTGTATCAATACTCAATCATCACATCATCATCTGTGACATATTATATAAACATGGTGTTAGGATATTGAAAAGAGATGAACAAATATATAAAAATCTATAAATGAAATGAGAAAAATGACAAAATATATATTAACATATAACTCTAATTTAGTAACTAAGATTTTAAAAATTATTTTAAAATTCTCCACTCCTATCAAATCCAATTTTAATACATAAATTAAGAGAGGTTTAATTTGACCATGAGTTTCTTAATTATTTTCTTATCTACATACATGCTTCACTTAGTGTATATGTTACTGCTAAAGCTCGAAAGCCGTTAATGTGTACATTATCTAGCTAATCTGCAGATTAACTAGGGTGATCCGTTAAAGTTGCGAAAATTGTTCCATTTCTCAAATTATCTAGGTAATGTCAGAGTATCTAGGTAATCTGCACATTACCTACTAGGCACTCGGTAAAGTGATAATAAGATCTTTGCCACAAATAAATGTACCACAAATAGGTGTGCTTGTCACAAAAACCAATTGCTATGTAATTCAAAGTGTCACCAATCTTTAGACTACACCAGGGGTCGCCAAAGTGGTCGATGTGACATCATTGGGGGAGTCGATGCAGCTAGGGGTCGATTGGGGGTCTATGCAGCAAAAAGGTCAGAACCTGTTTTTTTTTCTTTTTTTGCTCATATAGAAATCACAACGTTTTATTTTTATCCTCACACACTTGCACTTGTAACAAAACTTTACGATGGGGATCAATGTGAGGTGTTGGAAAGTTGTTGGGGGTCGGCGGTTAAAAAAGTTTGGCAACCCCTGGACTACACTAATAAGTAAGAACAATTGGTTAATGTTGCCTATGGTGACTAAAATGGCGGCTCGTCTCTGATTCCAGCAAACAGAAGAAAGAAAACAGTGAAGAAAGAAACGCACGTTCTAACCTAACCTAACCTATTCTAATAATTTGGTTGGTAATAATTATGGTAATTTATTAAAATAGGTTAGGTTAGAACGTGCGTCCCCACTGTTTCCTTTCTTTGGTTTGCTAGAATCAGAGACAAGCCGCCAATTTAGTCACCAAAGGTAACATTAACGCACAATTTTATCATGTGATCGCCAAAAAAAGTATGATAATTTTCTTATTTTTTGTCTCTGGTCCAAAAGTAGGGTATCGTCGAACTCGTTTCTATCCCCTCAATTCAGATATATACTCAAAGTTCCAAAATTCCATAGGTGGTAATCTATATAATCCCCCATTTCCCTAATTGTAATAATATTTTAAACCGTTTGATTTTTTGTATTACAGTTTTTTACTTGATTGATGATTGATTCTACTAACTAATTTGTTGATTGTTTGATTGTATTAACTTGATTCTTTAAATATCAAAAATTAAATAAACAACATTATGTTAATTTAAGCATACAGAAACGTTGCTGTTGTTCCAGCAAAGATCTTATTTTCACTTTACCGAGTGCCTAGTATATAATGTGCAGATTACCTAGATAATTTGAGAAATAGAACAATTTTCGCAACTTTAACGGATCACCCTAGTTAATCTGCAGATTAGCTAGGTAATGTACACATTAACAGCTTTCGAGCTTTAGCGGTAACATATATATGACTCATTCTGTTCTGTTCTGGACACATTTTCTGTGTACTCTTCTCACCTATTAAATCTAGCTATATGATTAATATATGTATTCATGAAATGATTATTATTTAAAAGTAAACAATGGATTACAGTAATACATCCAATTTGATGAAATTCAATTGTATGCTAAATCTCAATAATATCAGAGTACTTTTTCAATTCATGTACAGAATATAGTGTGTTTGCATTAAAATATTATTATGTACTACTATTTGTTTTGTATTCTGTATATATCAAAATACATACAGAATACAAAACAAATAGTAATATTTCTGCTTATTATAATCAGTCATTAAAAAGTAAACATGTTTCCACCATACATTTGTATTATACGATTTATTACTTTGTCATTATCATCATAAAATAAATTTGCTTACTTTTTATACTTTATACTTTTTTAATTTTTCAATATCATTTTCTGTAATGTTAGGCAAACATTAACCAAATAGTAGTGTTTCTTACTGGCTTAGAAAGTACAAAATGGGAATATTAATTGTTTCCAACTAAAATGTCTATTTGAGAATGTTATTTCAACTTTGATTTTATCAGAATTGGTATAAGTTTTCCTGATTACTTAACATAGACTATATTCTTCAATTTACTATATGCTTTAATATAGGCCTTATTTTATGTCATTTTAAATAAAAGTTTTATTATACACAATGAAACTTCTAATAAACAGATAGCTGGAAGACTGAGCAGTTAAGCTGTCAGACTACTGCTCTGGAAACCTGAGAATGAATCCAAATTGATTTAAAAACACCAGAAACTTTTTGGAGATGATCTGTCCCAGATATGTCAGGTCCCATCCCTCACCATCCAGCTGCCCCATTCTGGACTTTATCACTTACAATAAGGTTGATAAAAAGGCTCTATTGTGTCCACAGGGTCTAAAGACAAAAAATTAAATGAAACAACTACATGTTTCTAATTCATGTAGCACATTGAAACTTTAAGGACTTATCATACAGGAATGTACTTCACTCATATGGACAAATGAAATCTTTGTGATAATCATTCTGCAAGATGCATTTAGAGTCTAGACCCCTCTTTAGTTGCAGACTACACAAAAGATGGATGTTGGTTTCAAGTAAAACCAAAAGGAAAAATGAACGACTATGTTTTCTTCATAAATATAGTGAAATAAGTAACTGAACATTACTAATATAACTTTGCAATAGTACTTCATATATTCCATCTTATATGCTAGACAATCAACTAGTACTAATATAAACTACTACTGGTATTTGTTTCAAGTCTGAGAAAATATTGAAAATGCAACTAAGCTTTGACTTTTACAATAAATTCATAAATAACTTTTTGTTATTCAAATCTGAATTTGTCATTTTTTTCTATAAATGCTATATTCTTTATATAATTGATACAAAAAATAATCAATAAAAATATTTGAAGTAAACTCATATTGTTTTGTAAATTTTTAATTTAATAACTGCAAAATATAAATTTTTTTTCCTACATCACTTTTGAAGTTTTTAAAACTTTAAAATGATATTTAAATTTAAAAACATCATATACATTATCATACATTTATTATTCTTAGTTGATCAATATTTTTATAAAATTATCTATTTAATTATTAATGAGAATTTCATACCAGCAATACTAATCATCCAACTATGTCCATCTTCTCCAGCATGTCTTTTCAATAAATTTAATATGCTAGTTAGTAAAGCATTTAGATGATCACTTGTTACCATAGTGACATGATTTCTGTAAAATATAAACATTTCATTTAAAATTAAATGAAAATGAAATGTCTATTAAAATTTAAAAAATCTAAAACATACCCAGTTGTTAAATTCACATTATCAGGCCCTTGACTCCACCAGAATGGAAGATAACTTTAAATAAAAAATAAAATGATTTATTGATAAAGTTTAAATATTTAAATCAGTAAATAAAATTAATTAATAAAAAAGGAACTCTTAGATGAAACAAGGATAAAAGTAATGTTTAACAAACATTGCTTTTATCCATTTAGCAACAAAAGTTCAAAGGTGCTAAACAAGATCCTTGGATTTGTGTACTCAGTTGAAATACATTGTACTCAGTTTATTAAGTTCTTATGCTTTATTTTCTTTTTATTTTTCATTAAAAAATACATATACTGTTTAAAAGGAAAATTAATTAAAAGTCTGAAGTCTGAGTACAATGTATTTCTGGTCTGGCATACCGGTTGCTATGCCAGACCAGAGTCAAGGCATAGCAACCAAAACAAAACTAAAATTAAATAAGTGTGTCAGTGTGTGTGTCTGTATTCAGGAATTTCCTAACAATGTGGCATGTATTCAATATAGTGGCCTTCTGTAGTGTGATATATGTATTTCTACTCAATTGTAATGTTCCCAGGCTTTTGTGTAGTGTGTGTGGTATCACAGCTGTACAGGAGAAAATGACAGGTACAATAAGCACCCTACCCATCCTCCACAGATGCCTTATTTCCTGGGCTAGTTCTGTGTACTTGCTAATTTTTTCAGTGCATGTCTTTTGTACATTGTGAGTATTTGAAATGGCTATGTCTATAATGTATGTGATTTTATTGTGTTCGTCAATGAGTGTGAGGTCTGGTCTGTTGTGATAAATTGTTTTATCTGTGATTATGGCTCTGTCGTAATACATTTTGTGCGTGTTGTTTTCCAATACTGTCTGTGGAATATACTTGTAGTATGGTTCGTGGATGTCTGCCAATTTGTGTTTCTTTGCAAGCTCTTGGTGTATTATATTTGCTACTTGATTGTGTCTA